CCTACATGCAAAGGATGTGGGAGAAATTGGGAGATATTTAAATATGTAGATATATATAACATGTATTATATATATAGGGATCTGAATGAAGAAAATGTTCTCATTTAATACTTTATTCTGTACAAAGCCAAATGTGCTGACAAGATCACATAAAAATGTTCAGTGGAAATCAAGTTCTTTAACCAAAAGGGGCGTGGATTTGGAGTCACACACCAAATGAAAGCAGAAAAAAAGACTGGAGACGGCTCCAACTTTAACACCAGGGCATGCTCCTGATGAGGTTGTAGGTGGACTCCAGACCTGGATCAAAACATCCTCCAACTCCTGGACAGTCTGTGGTGCAACCTGACGTTGGTGGATGGATCGAGACACGATGTCCCAGATGCGCTTAATCAGAATCAGCTCTGGAGAATGGACGTGGCAGTCAATAGCTTCAATTCCTTCTTCTTGCAGGAACTGCTGACACATGAAGTCTAGCACAGTCCTGAATTAGGAGGAACACAGCTGGCATTGATGTACCATCCTGGATGAGCTGCACTACCTGAGCCACATACGTGGGTTGCAGAGTCCATCTCATGCTACCATGAGTGTGAAAGCATCACCAACATTCAAAGGTGACTAAAACATCAGCCAGAAAGCAGAGGGACTGAGAAGTGGTCTGTGGTTCCCACCTGCAAAAGCACTGCTTTATTGAGTGTGTCTTGATAATTACCAATAATTCCCACCTGTTGTCTTTTCCATTTGAATAGAATAGAATTCAGCTTTTATTGTCATTAGATTATCAAGTACAAAGGGACAAAATTAACTCTCTGCATTTAACCCCTCCCCTCGGGGAGCAGTGGGCTGTCATTGTGTGGCACCCAAGGAGCAGCATGTGGTTAAGGGTCTTGCTCAGGGACCCAGAGTGAAAGCTGTGGGGATCAAACCAGGTACTTGCAACCTTCTCAGAGCACAAGCGCACTGCTTTAACCACTAGGCCTAATCTGGACCCAATGAGATTTAAAACATTTATAAATTACCGTATGTTGTCTGAGGAAAGTGTCTAACTTCACTTGTGCCGCTTCTCCAGTTAATTTGGTAAAGCCCTCATGAACTAGTGAAAGAAAGGGGAAATGGTGTGCTCAAAGATGACCCTGCACATTTAGAGGATGTTTGGCTCAACCTGCTGCTGTGAAGCAGGATTCTCCACCATGAACAGAATAAAAAAAGAAAACAAACAAAAAAAAAAAGCCTTGCAGGGCAGCATAAAGCGCGCTTCTCTCATTAAGCCATAAAAGAAGAAAAATAAACTGTCAGGTGTTTTATAAATATGTGAATCAGTGAATTGCCTATATACCAAACTGAATGATTTTTGTTCTCTATTTTAACACTTTAGATTTTAAAATTGATTTTTTTTTTATTAAAAAATTCAATGTAACATGGATGCATAAAAACCTTATTTTATTTCAGTGTCAAATTCTGTTTAAAGTAACATATTCTAATTAAAAATATCTCCAGACCTTTACTAGTTGTTGATTTTCTTTATTCGGACCCCGCTGGTTTTTAATTGGTTACCCCTGATCTATTTCTTAAGATGTGTCATTTGTTACCCTCCATAAAGCTAAAATGAGTCATTCAATCTGAGAGAAATAAAGAGCCTACATCTATATATATACATATATGGGAACAAACATTTTATTTAATAATGCAAACTGCAACATATGAATTATATTATTTATCCAAAGGAGCAAGAAAAAGGTCATATACCCATAGTAAATAAATCACACAGTCTGTTAAATCTAAATCCAACACAATATTTTCAACCTCAACCATAAAAGGAAAGCTCACCCAAAAAAACTAAATGTACATTCCTCTGATGTCGGGGGAGTTCATTCCCACTCTGTGAACATCATCGAGTCTTTTCCAGGAAACTTCCTCTTCCTCTGCAGACAGCGCAAAAAAAAGGAAAGCCGACTTCATATGAACGCCAGTTAACCGTTAGGGGATGCGGCCAAATGATCGGGTGCAAACTTCTGCACTTGTCGGAGATAAAGAGCTGGGAGGGGCACAAATATCTACGGTACTGAGTGACGTTTTAGGATCAGTGAGGGTGATTCTTCAGGAAGGCCTCTTCTACACACAAACATAGTTCAGATGGCAGCTGAATGTCAATCTGTTCAGCTATTGCTCTGATAAATAATATTTACCCTATGGGAACAGATCAGGCTCACATTGTTCAGATGTAGGACTAAGGAGAAACTGTTATGAAATGTCAAAACGACATTTTTTTGGTTGGAAAATAAACCAAAAACAAAAATCCCTGCGCCATTGGTTTTCCTTAAACCAACATGTCCAGTCGTGGAAAGTTTCATAAAGGATTAGCTGAAAAAAACAGCCAAGTGACCCAAAAAAAAAAAACTAGCACCATTTTCACTGAGGGCAAGCCAGAGGGTTAAAGAGGAGAAGCCGCAGCTAGCACAGAGTTCAGTTTAAGTGCTGCAGCTTGTGTAAAAATGACTGCTCATCCTTTTTGGTCGTCACTCCCCTCTGTCGTAATCCGGCTGTGTGCAGCTTATGCAGACATAGTCCTCCTTCTCCGCTCGCTCAGCAGACAGTCCAACACAAACCTGGTGGAACCACTGGTTACAGTTACCGTCACACTGGACCCAGTTTACCTGAAACCAGAAGGACACCGTCAGCTGTAAATATTGAAGGCGCTGAATAAAAAACTGAGACGTACCTCGTCCCCCTCAGGCTCTCTGCACCACGGCGCGGCACACAGTGAGAAGTCTTCCTCCGAGTCTGAGAGCGCCGGGTCGGACACCGTGTGCGACGGCGAACTCGTCCTCTTAGACTCCTCGCTCCTTTCTTTGCTTTTCTTGGGCTTCTTCTTGCGAGACTTTTTGGCTTTCTCGCTGTGCTGAGAGTCAGAACTGTCCTTCCTGCGTTTCGTCCTTTTGTTCTGTCCACTGGCGTCTTTCTTCAGATTGGAGCCTCCGTTCTACAAACATGGAAAACCTTTAAAAACCTATTTTCCTTCCAGACGTTCCAGTTGAACGGCGTAGAAGTTGGCGTACCTTGTGGTGTCGGGGGCTCCCCTTCTCAGACTGCTCCGTCTCATTCCCACGAGGGGAGCTGTGGGGGGGCAGCGGGGCCAGTTTATACAGCAGGTATCTGTACAGCTGCTCGGTCTCAGGCAGGGTGACCTGCAGCAGGAAGCCCTCCACCATCAGCTCCTCCAGCTCATGACCAAGAGCTGCAACAAACGCCACAGCCGAGGGTTAAGAGAAAAAACAGACCAGGAGGTGGAAAAGTTTCCAAAAGAGCAGCTGTTAAACACCAACCTTGGAGCGGAAGAGTGCGATGCTTTGTGTAAAATGAACCATTTATTTCCTGAGTCAGATATGAAGATGTTTTGGGTCCATGTCTCCCCTGAAACATAAGAACAAAGCTACAGCTTTAGAAACACAAATTCAGACAAACTAATCGTTTACAACTGATTTTATTGGGCAGCAGGTTTGTTAAAAATAAATATCTGAATAGCTTGGAGAGCTTTTATATCCAGCCTTTCTGTGTTAAAACATTTTTTGCTACAATGACCTATGGTATAGAGGACGATCTTTTATTTCCGGGTGGATCATCTAAATAAGTGACCCTCCTAATTGACAATCATTATGGTGATATGTTTACGTAAGGTGGTCTAACGTGCTCGTCCCGTTAGCTATCGTTTTCATAGGAAAAAAAAGTGTCTATGAAGTGTATGAGAAGAAAAGAAAGGCCTCAGAAGAGACAGATATATCCCAAGATGCTTTGTGTGGAGAGCTCACCTCGCGAAGCATTAAAGTCGTCGGGAAGCGGCTGTTCCAATGGTTGCAGTTCTGAATTCTCCCGAGTGGTGCCCGACTTTATACGAGCGAATAAAGTGATGTGATTGGTCGTTTATCAAGGGCTTCTCTGACTAATCCTCATGGATGCTGCTCACAGCAGCAGACTAAAGGTCTTAAGGACCCTGTATACTCCCGCAGCTGTGTGGTGCAGTTAGCTTGTCGCAGGAATATTGCAGATATTTTTGATTTGTGCCCACTTTTGAAGCGTGGTCTGTGCTATGTTATTCCACGCCACAACACAAGAGGGACAATCACGAACTAGCTAGGATTGAGGGTGTCCGTGTGTCGGTTTGACAAGCTTGTTCGCCGTCTACAACCCCTCATCCAACACCGGAGGACACACAGTTCACCAGTGAGTGTTCCCCAAAGACTGTCCGTAGCGCTGTGTGTTTTGGCTTCGGGTGCAAAGCAACAGACCGTTGCACAGATCTACAAACTAGCATCCTGCACGGTGTCTGGGATGGTGTGCCAGGCTTGTGGACGGCACTACAGCCAGAGTTTCTGCCATTAGGTACCAAACAGGAAATACGCATAGTATAAAGGGGATGTAGAATTGACCAATCAGAGGCCTCCTTTCTCTCTTTCCTGTGATGCTGTCTGTGGTCACCTACAATTTTCGGGAGGTGCACCAGTGTCTGCGGAAGGGGGGGGGGGCATATCTGCCAACACACGCACATATATGGTTTCTGCGCATAAACTGGGCTTTAATTAGATGTCTTCTAAAATTAATTGATTGATTTTATGAAGGATTCAAGAAAAGAGTTGGAATACAAACTCATGTAACCCATTTCATTTTAAAAATTGAGCTTTGTTTCTCTTACCTGTGTGTCGCTGAGGAAAATTAAATACTGATAAAGTTCATTGAAGTTTGTGGATTTAACACCAAAGAAGTAAATTTGTTAACCTTTCGACTTACCGCGTTGGCCATCCTCTCCAGCAGTCCGATTGTGCAGGCCTGCTGGACTTTGTACTGCCATCGGACCGTTCTTTCAATGAGGAAGCGGAGGGCGTCTCCTTCTGGCAGACGGACCCGGATCCTCTGCAGCGAGGCCAGCAGAGGCAGGACCTTGTCCAGAGGCGGCTTCCTGGACCGCTGGCAGAGCGAGCAGAGCCAGACTTGGCCGTAGTCCAGGTCTTCAGCTGTAGAGATGCAGTCGTGGTGAAAAATGTCTCGGCAGAGCTCGCACTGAACCATGGCACCTGAAGGAGCCTTTTGGCAAACACAGACGCTAAGTGCACAGGAGTTCTCAGCAGGAAGGAGTTTGGACTCGTTTGAAGCTCTGAGAGCCAACAGGAGCTCCATCTCCCTCTGCTGGACATCAGCTAAAGTGCTCATCTGTGGAGAGAAAACAGCTGATATAATGTTCCCTCTGTGACTGAAATGAATCCTTAAAGAGTTAAAAGGAGTGTATGGATTCAGGGCAGGATGTTGATCCATCCAAGATGAACTCACAGCAGAGGCAGAGTCCCTGCTCTCAGAGAGAGCTCTCTCCACGTCACAAAGCGACTCCAGTTTCTGCGAGGCTTTTCTGATGAGCTGTGGAGCTTCTTTTACTTTCTTAGACCTGCACTTCTGATGTCCGGACCCAACGTCACATCTTGGACAGAGGACCTAAAACCCCATGAATGAAATGTCAAAGACTTGAAAAGGACAGGAAAGCAGGTTTGTTTGGATTCCACTGTGAAGCCGTTTTACCTCGAGGAGAGAGAGGGGGGAGTTTTTCAGTAGGAATGTTTTTGCTGCGCTCTCCTTCCAGCTCTGAACGTCACTGATGAGAGCCTTCAGTCGACTCAGCGGGTCCAGCTGTGCTGGGATACTCTCTGCCCTGACAACCAGCTCAGAGAGGCTGTCTAGCACAGGAATCCGTCCTCCCATCTTGGAACAGGAATAAAGCTTTTACTTTAAAGCTTAAATTTACCCATTTTAACACTGAAGTGTGTTTTACCTGAAGCATTTCTGCTTCATTGAGCCATTTCTTGGCTTTTGAAACAACATCCTTCAGCTGCAGACAGTTGGGCAGGTAGGCAGGGATGTTTTCTACTTCTGTCAGAGCAGCATCAAGCGTCTCAATGCTGGGATACGGTCTGAAAGATTCAGGAACAGTTTGATTTTTCATTTTTGCTGCTATAGGCTTAGACTTCATCATTCTATCTCCAACTCTGCAGAATCTGTTAGTTTAATCTCTAATGTTCTGCTCTCTCTGTTTTTTCTCATAGCAGCTTCATCTGGTCTGTTCTTGATTGGCTGCGACACCATACTGGAGAGAAATATCAGCTATGCTGCTGCCATCAACACCTTTGTTTATAGATGTTGGAGCTTGGACTGTTTTTCAGTGTTGTCCGGTTTTTCTGACTGTGACTGACTGGATGTGCTCTCTTCATCCTCTGACATGGGAGCTGGCTCGGAGCTCGTCTGTTAAAAGGGAGTTTTTCCTCTCCACTGTCGCTACAAACATGCTTAGTGTGAGGGATTACTGAAGAGTCAATGAGTCGATGCAATCATCTGGTTTTCCTTGGATAGAAACCTTTGAATCAATTTGACTGTATGATCTGGTGAACTGTAAAGAGCCTTGAGATGACATGTGTAATGAATTGGTGCTATACAAATAAACTGAATTACATTTTTTTTGTGTGAAAAAGATAAAGATCAGAAAAGTGAAAGTTTGGAGAAGAATGTTTTACCTGGCATCCATGAGGCTGAGCACGCGCTCCTCCCACTGCTCTGACACAGTCAGCAGCTCCTGCAGGCGAGCCATGGCTCTTTCCACAGAGCTGTGCGGGGCCAGGCCAACGCCCTGGTCTATCAGCCTCCTCATGGTGTCCAGACAGAGGCTGTCAGGTCTGCTGCTAGCCTGCTGCACCGCCTCCAGCCAGCGGGCCTGCTCCAGCCTCTCTCTGAGCAGCGGGAGCTGCGGCAGCTCCACATCCAGGCCCAGACTCACATCCAGAAGCTCCTGAAGCTCCTGAGGGCTAGGCGACTCGTCGGAGAGGAGCCGGGTGCTACGCTGCTGGAAGTCATCAACCCGGGTCAGCAGGTCCTGCAGGTAACAACAATTAGATTATTCTAACTAATCTTTCATTTTGACAGAATGTAGGAGTTTCTTTGTCACTTTGAGCAAAGGAATATGCTTTTGGGAATTTGTATTATTTACTTTAAGTAAAGGAGCCTGTCGGATGTTACATGGCAGGTTATCCAGCTGCTGGACAAAAGAGCGCAGCTCCTCCACGGTCAGTCCGTTCTGGTTCGGAGACTTTCCTCCTCCTGAGCGATACCTGACAGGCAAAACGAGAAGAGCTGATCAGGACAGTAACGAAGAGACACCTTGTTCTACGGAAGATTCAGTTGTTTTCTAAGCCAGTGGCAAACACACGGCCTGGTGTCTACCCTCCCACTATCTGAACTGGTAGTGATGGGGCAGACCAGTAAATACGAGGGAAAAAGAAGAACGTTTAGCATATTTGAATCTGTTCTGGTAAATGAATCCTTTGATGTCGAAGTTTGCATCCGGATCTTTCATTGTTTGGCCCATAAGTCTGAAAGGTGGAAAAAAGGTACCCTGTATCCAAGTTAGCGCCTCCATTAACCATTATTCTGATAATCGATGAATCTGTCAATCATTTTTCGGATTAATACTCGCATAGCAAAAGGTTCCTTAAAGATTATTTTTTACACAATTAAACCAGTTTACAGAATTAAACCGTCAGTTTTCTACTTGACGAGTTCTGGATAGAACATGTCGACAGATGAAAATTTTTTATGTTAATACTACATTTTCATTTATATTTTCACAATGTTTGTATAATTACTGCTCTAAGTGGGTTTCTGTCAGATAAAGGCATGTTTTAGAGTCTCTATACTCGATTGACGATTATTTTTTATCAAATTGCTTATTAGGATTAATTGTTTCAGACCTATTACAGCTGTAATCGGCACGGTGTCAACAGTAAAGATAAGTGTTGTTTGTAAGGATTCACAGATATGAACATTTGGGCCGATATAAACATCTTATTATTTTGTGGTTGCAGCTGATAACCCATATTTTTGTCACCAATAAAAAAAAAACACAAATGCTCTCATTGCACTGCAAAAAATCTAAATCTAAATAAGTCATTTTTTCTTAAACTAAGTGCATTTGTTCTTGAATTGAGGAGGTAACAGATACCTTGCCAATGGAACAAGACAATTTACATTTAAAATAAGAAAAAGCAACCGCATTGTCTTATTTCAAGTGCATATTATCTAATAATCTTATTTTAGGAGTAAAAATACTCATTCCATTGGCAAATCATCCCATTTACCTACTAAAATGAAGGGTAAATATGCTTGATTTAAGACATTTTTACTTATTTCTAGACCATTTTTGCAGTGTGGTTCTATGCTTAAAAAAACCCCACCAAAAATCCTCTGCAACGTCACAATCACTTTCACTGCCCTCCCCTCCGAAATAAAACAAATAAACACTGAATGTCAGCACCGCCCCACTTTTAGTGACCAAAACATTTTAAAATGACAAATATTGGCAGATATCAGTGCAGATATAAGGTGCATCCCTGATTGTTTGCATTTTTATTTTAGTTTATTTTAGATTTCTTGAGTATTGGAAATGAAAATAATATCATAGAAAAACATCAGTCAGATGATCAGTTATATTTGGGTTATATCTTTAGCTTTTATTCACACAATTATTTAATCTAACAGTTGTGATTCATATTAAGGTGGAAAAATGTTTTTAATGTTATTAAAAAACATGTTTTATGCTTTTGAATTTTGTCTTTTTCCACCCGTGATCTAAAAATAAATAGTTTGGGGTATTGAATATTTTCCTGGTATGATATAAAGCTTTGAATTGAAGTATCAGTCCATGTTCGCTACCTTATAGCTCAACAGGAATGCAGCTGGAGCTCCAGTCCAGCCGCATTTCAGGCTTATTTTTAGTACCTCGTCTGCCTTTTCCCGTTGAGAAGCTGCTGTGCCATTGCAGCAACTTTATCAGCCTCAGAGATGACGCTGCGCAGCTGATCCAGGAGGCTAATTTTAGGGAAAGCCTTGGTTTCCGCTTGCTCCACTAAGCTGTGAAGTTCCTCCAAACCTGATAAGGAAGCAGGAGTGATGCAACAGAATATTGCGGTGAGGGTTGCAGGATGACGGAGTAACGACTGATAAAAGGTTCTACGGCACCTTTTTTCTTGGATGCTTTGTTCTCCACTACGTCTTTGACAGCAGAGAGCCACTCCTTGTAGGACTCTGACCGCAGCTTCACTGCTTCCATCAGAGGATATAATTCATCCAGGGTAAACTTATAACTGTTGGAGGAACAAAAAGCTGTGAATTACTTTTGAGTAAAGAAAAGGAAATTATATATACATGTAATTTGTTTGCATCATTCCTGAATGACTGTTTTTTTTTTTTTTTTTTTAGAGGGAAACCTGAAGTAAAATTCACAGGTGAGTTTGTTCAGTTGTTTTGGTTACTAGAGACTCACTGAAGTGTGAGGTTGCTATGGGGACAGGAGCAGAGGTGCTGGGCGTGGTACAAACAAGCCATCTTGTTAGGGCTGCAGGAACAAGCGATGCCAGACAGGTAGCAGGTGGTCCGACACTTGCAGCACTGCCGCTCCTCATCAGGGAGCAGCTCGTAATCAACCTGTCGGGACCGCACCACGCCCTGGAGACAGACATCCAGACATCAGAGAGCAGAGCCAAAAGTGGCGTCTGTGCTGCAGGAAGAGCCTCCAGCACGTTACCTCTAATGTGTTCAATAAAGCGAGTTGGTTATCAATCAGGAACATCAGTCAATGCTTCTTTCACCTTCTTGTAACAAACTTCAGGATCTGAACCATTTAGCTTCTCACCATCTTGTTTATCTTTTCTCGTAGCTCCCTCTCCTCCTGGATCATGGTGGCCATGTCCTCACGCAACGACGCTGCCAGCTCCACGTCCATCGTGTCCGCCTTAAACGCCATGTTGCAGACCATCTCATCGTGGGAGAAGACGCAGTATCTGCTCAGCTGACGATAGTGATCCACGCAGTTCCGGCCAATAGGCATCTGCCGGAAAAACAAGAAGAACTCTTTGAGTTCAGCACTAGTAGATTGGATCACATGGAGCTGCTACGGCACAGCCACGCTTCCTCACCCAGTCCATGGTGCAGAAGTTGACAGCTTCAGCAAAGTTGAAACCCTGGTTGAAGCCGCTGTGGTAAGCTCGGGGGAAAGTGATCACAAACTCGCCTGCACACTGGTTGGTGCGGAAGATCTGCACACAGGCAGCGGTTCACTATACGGTACACGGTAGATGCTTTTACTGTTTGAAATGATGTGGCTGTGATTACCGGGACGCCGTTGTTCATCAGCGTGTTGGGATTCATGATGGTGACAAGCTGATGGAGCAGATCGGGCTGCGATTCAAACAGCTCAGGAGCCAGTTTCTTCATGACAGACTCCAGGTGCTCTGCAGCGTAACCAGGAGCTCCGTACCAGGTCTTTGGCTCGCCCCTACGAAAAAGGACACAGACTTAAGAGTTTATGGTCTGCCGCCAATCCATTTTCCATGCTGCCTTATTTGACAGGGCTTCAGGCGGTGCTGCAACATTTCATGAAAGTTGGACATTTACAGAAAGGTTGTTAACTGACATGAGCTGACAAAATGGTTCAAAAATTAAGGAAAAGAATCTTAAAACACTCAAATGTTCCCATAATTTGAGAAAGGAAATTAGATGATCGACTGACAAAAATAAGACAAATATTATGCACTTCCTCAAACAAGAGAAAAAAGTAATTTAATAGAAAAATGACTTATTTTATTATTTGCAGCGTTGCCTATTGTTGGCTAAACTGTTCTGTCCCGGTGGGAAATTATTAGTAAGGACAGAATGCAAAGTAATGTCCGTTATTATGAGGAGTTCAAAAACATTACGCCACAGAAAGAAAATGAAAACTCTATTAAACTCAACAGTTATCTCGGTTACTGTGCACCGACCGATCTCAGCACGGTTTTAAAACGGTAGGTTAAAATTGGGCTTCTGTGTTGCTCACTCGCTTGCCTTCAATACTTTGGCTTGTTGGCCGATTGTATTCGTGTGCAGTGACATAATCCTAGTCACATGCTGTTGTTTTGGTAAGTAATCGCAAAAAAGGCTTTATTTACTAACAAAATAAGCAAAACCAAAGCTTAACAGACAAAAGTAGCAAATACATCAGCAGGACTCCATAATCACTGGCCTAGAAATTTTTAAAATATTAAATGATGTTACCATTAATGCCCTCACTTTTATTGACCTTCATGTTGGTTATGGAACCTGTTGCATTTTAAAATGATGGCATTCCTTTAAGTCTCACCATGAAAAAAGTAATCATCTTAGGCTACGTTCACACTGCAGCCTGAAGTGACCCAATTCCGATTTTTTTGCCCATATGTGACCTGTATCTGATCTTTTTATGACAGTCTGAACGACACAGATCGGATTTTTTCAAATGCGACCCAGGCCACTTGGATATGTGGTCCTGAATCCGATACGTATCTGATCTTTTCAAATGCGACCTGTGTCTGTACGGCCAGGTCGCATTCATCCGACCTACACGTCATTGATACTTGACAAATGTTACTAAACGTTACTAATCTGCGTCCTACTAAGCGGAGGCGGGAAAAACTAACAACCATGGCGGAAGATAACACAGAGAGCAGTCAATGGAGAGAAAGTGAGGTTGCTGACTTAATTCATATTTGGAAAGATAGCTCGATTCAGACCAAACTCGAAGGGTCTTACCGGAACCTGGGGAGGGTCTTTCTTTTTGATCTTCTTAAAAAGATTTTGTTCGTAATGTGCCTGCTCCTGTTGGAGAAGAACTTAAAGAACGCGATATACGCTGCGGTATTACGAGTCATGTTTACTTCCGCAAACACTGAGGACGCTTGCTACGTGTGACGTCATCGCGTCCTCGAGTGCGCATGCGGGACACTTCGGTTGGACGCATTCAGTTCACACAGTAGATCACATACAAGTCGCATATACTTGGAAGTGTGAACGGACACGCAAAAAAATCCGATTTCACAAAAAAATCGGAATTGAGCATTAAGGCCTGCAGTGTGAACGTAGCCTAAAACTATCTAAAAACGAACACAATTTTTACTTTCAAAAACAAAAAAAAAGATTAGTCTTTCCCGTTTTACGAAAACTACTCTAAGATTCTGATAGGTACAAATATAAATGCTGAATGACCAATCACAGCAGGCAATCAAGAATCATTGTTTTAAAGGATTTTAATCCCAAATCTTTCAAATCAAACCTCAGTCTGCAGAAAACTGGCATTAACAGGTCAAATCTTTGCAACAAACTAAAATCAGCCGTAAAATGAGGACGGATTAAAGGAGATGTCCGGTCATATTCAGATGTCAAACTTTTGGGCAAAAATGGCTGACTCTCTGATCGCAAGGAAATTATGTCAATTCAATTAATTAATTCACAGTGAATGTATTAGTTTTAGGTATAGATAATGATCCACTGATTATTCCTTGCTGACCTGACTTTTCTTTCAAAAGCTGCAAAGCACAAAATAAATGCTTCCTAGTGGCAGATTGAAACCGCAGCAATAGCTTAGCAGAGGGTTCTTTACCAGTGCAGATAGTTTATGGAGTAGCTCCAGTGGTCCTCGATGTGCCAGCAGAAGGAAGAGAAGCACATGCCCACATACAGCCAGGGAACCTTCATCCCACAGATGTCAGCTGTAATGTGGGTCAGCACCGAAGCATCCAGCACCGGCATGTTGTTCAAGTTCCAGCCGCTGGTCACGTAATGCTGCAGGTCAGAGACAGGTCTCAACACTCCGCCTCCACTACACGCTCCAAACCAATCAGGCCAAGAAAATGACTCATCAAAATCATAAATCAACAGCAAACTATCATGACTTTATCAACAAAAATTAGACATATGGCTTTTTTTTTTAAATTTCTCTCCATTCAACTTTAATGTAATCTCTCAGGAGTGTTTAAAAACCAAACATGAAAAATGACACCATTCCTTCCCCACCAGGGATCTACAATACCTCATCGTCTGGAGAGACTTCAAAATGGCTGTTTTTCACAGGAAACCCACTCCCAAACTCTTTGGAGGCAATGTCTGCTCCGTATTCCACTGTGACGTCTTCCTCTATAGTGCTGACAAGACGCCAAAACTCCTTCTCCACCAGCTCAGTGGGAACCATCTGAAAACAGAACCACCATTACTGCAGCAGTGTTTACTTGGGTATGATTCCCAAGCAACACACAAAGGACTATTTAAAGGCACATCAACAGTGAATTTGATCAGATGAAGTCAAATCCTCACAAGATGGTCTAAAATAGCTCCTTTCAGAGCATTTTCATTGGAAATACACACTCAATTCTGACAGAACCATTTCATCAACACCATGATGTCCAAATTATTCCTAAATGTCTGTTCTGTTTTTAACATTTAACGCATTCAACACTTTAGAGTAACTATTCAAAACTTTAATAAAAAAACAAAAAGAAAACACACACACATTTGCAGGGCTTTAAAGGAATGTATTTATGTTTCACTGAAGGAAAATTAAAACTAGCCAGTGTGCTTGATAGACGTCAGTTTTGTGAAATTCAGGGAACATGGAAAAAAAAAAAAAAAAAGCTGTTAAAGCTGGACAAAAATAAGTAGTCATTGAAAATAGAAATTTTGTTATCCATTTCTGGCACTTTGAAAAATAATATACTCAGATATATTTTCATATGCTGATATCAAATAGATTTTTATAAACGCGGTATCGATGTATTTTACTTTCAAAATCTCGTCAAATTTCATTGTTCTGTTACAAACTCTCGTGATATTTTATCGTTCTGTTACAAACTCGTGATATTTTGCAAATTCTTGTGAGATTTTGTTAGTAAAATAGATCGATACCGCGTCAATATATCAACATATAAAAAATATGGCAAAATTTCGTGAATTTTCGGGGGATTTCGTAGCATAACGATGACATTTAGCAATATTTCATTACTAAAAGAGATTGATATGGTGTTTTTAAATGGCAATATATCAGCATATGAAGATAATGTGATATTTTAATGTATCAATACTTTTTCCCTCGTCTTTAGAAGTTTATAAGTCTGTAAAAAAGAAGTTTTTGAGGAAGAAGAAGTAGTATTTTTTTTTAGACTTTAGAATCTCAGAAGCTGATCAAATATCGGGTTAAATATTGGTGGGGTGGCCGATGTCCGATATTCAGTTTTAAGGCCGATACCGATAGGGGGCCGATTATATCGTGCATCCCTAATTATATATATATATATATATATAAGCATTGCTCCTGATGAATTACACCACTTCAGTGAGTAAAAAGAATAACAGACACAAGGGGAGGGACATGGCATAACTTTTTCCTTTCCTTTCAAACATCAATATTTGTACTAAAATATTCTCTCTGTCATTATTTGTGGACATTAAGATCTAAAGAGAAGCTTCATCTCCTGGTCAGACCCTGCAATTCCATGAACTTGTTGATGGCATGAAAATTATTATTTAAAAGAGCATTAAATTATACACATACATATATATGTATGTATGTGTATACATACATATATATATATATATATACATACATATACATATATATATACACATACATACATACATATATATGAAAAAAGCAATTTAATGAATTTTAATGATTTTAATGACCTTGTGGAAACCCTGTTCTTGTAATACATCTTCAAAACACATGAAGCTTCATTGGCTGCTCATTATTGCTCACGAGGACCATCAGAAAATGGATTAAAACACTTTGTAAAAATGTTTCTTTTTTCTTAATCCTTAAGTGTAAGAAAAACAAATTTCATTCATAAATCAATTGCTTCGCTTTAAATGCTGAAGCATAGGCTTAAGTCGGTTCCCCTCCCACACTGCTGTCTGTTATCGTCTGCTAAGCACCCATCAAACGGGAACTCAGGAAGCAGCAAAAACCCACACCGTCTGACTTTCACTGTAATCTGTGTCGATGGTGAAAAAACATCGATCCTCTGAAAAACATACACTGAAAATTATTCAGCTTCCATATACGACAAAACTATCTTTCGACATGAGCTCTACCCGCACCTCCTAGGGTGACCCTTTCTGAACAAAGAATTTAGTGGGATACCTTTTATCCATTTACAATGCAATAAACGTATTGTTTACTGAAATAAGTTAATTTACCAGGTATCCCTTTTAGAGTAATAAAAAGAGAGAGCAGCAAAAACGCATGTGCTGCTTCATTTTTGATGCTTGTACAAGTTTAGTTCTGATGGGTGGCTGAAGCATCTTTGCTGCTCTGGCTGCGCGGTGGACAAGTGGGTGTGATGCACGTTGGGGGGAGCTACCCTATCCTTTCTTTGCCTGGAACAATGGCAGCTATATTTGCTGTGATCAGTGGGTAAAAATTAGATTTGATATGTTTTGAAGTTATAAAGTCCATCTGAAAACTTAAAGGGATAGTTCGGGATTTTTGACATGAATCTGTATGGCATCCCCATCACCAGTGTCATGCAATCACACTGACTTACCCCTGGCAGCATCCTGTGAGCAGAGTTCTCATCCAGCTTTGGTCAAGCCGAAAGTAGTCCGGCAGGTTTGCTAGAGCCAGCGAAATAAAACGTTTCTCTTCCCAAAACATTATGTGTTCAAAAGAGTGATATTTTTGCATCCCAAAAACATTGTAGTGGAAAAAGTCACACGTCGTTATCACTTGGTCCTATTTTCTCTCTGTTCGTATCAGTGCGCGCGACACCATGACCTGACAGCTAGGGCCTACCTGTTTGATTCGCGATTGTTTACTACTGGGGAAGATGTCTGACTACGAGAGCGACGAGGAAAACATCGACTTCCACTTAGAGCCAAAGGGATATCTTTATGAACCCGAGTACACTGACGATGAACTTCGACAAATGGAGTTAGATCGGGCAGAAAGAGAGAGGGTGGACAGAGAAGTGATGGAAGCTGAAGCCGAAGCCGCAGGAGCACTGAAATGAGCTGGAAAAGTTGAGCTCGCTGTCTGAATGACGGCGCGCACTGATACGAACAGAGAGAAAATAGGACCAAGTGATAACGACGTGTGACTTTTTCCACTACAATGTTTTTGGGATGCAAAAATATCGCTCTTTTGAACACAGAATGTTTTGGGAAGAGAAACGTTTTATTTCGCTGGCTCTAGCAAACCTGCCGGACTACTTTTGGCTTGACCAAAGCAGGACGAGAACTCTGCTCACAGGATGCTGCCAGGGGTAAGTCAGTGTGATTGCATGACACTGGTGATGGGGATGCCATACAGATTCATGTCAAAAATCCCGAACTATCCCTTTAACAGCAGCCTCTGGCCCGGTCGCCTCCTCGCCGTTTGCTGCGTCGGCTGGTAGCCGTTTTTCTTGTACGTAATCCAAAACTGCCGGCACCAGAATAATAAAAGCGAACAAGTTTTGCCAGCAGATTTTGACATTTTAAGTTAATTTAGGCGTTAATAAACTGTTTCAGAGGAGTGATCATAGCAGTGCTGCCTGTATCCCTGCCAGCTCCGTGCGACGCGCTGCAGACAGCATGCGCATTCATGCGTTTTAAAGGCATGGTTTCAAGGGGTGGTCTGAAGGGTGAGTCATGGTTGTGTTTAAAAATATAGTTTGCTGGAACCGTTTTTCCAAGATCGCCTACTGCACCTTTAATAGATTGACTGATTAGCAGACAGTAAAGTCAAAAACTGTTTTGGGAAAGGATAACTTTACAAAGGAAGTGCAAATCTGAAGCTAAATCTACAACCACAGGTTGCCATAGTTACTCCCAGTAAAATATGACATCTTCAATAACACTTTGGTATAAATCTAATCAATACTCATCTACATGAATATTAAACATTAATCTTTAACACTATTTAAACATCATTACTGGTAAACAGAGGGACACATCTAAGACTCCTTCATGAGATGAACTCTAAGTACAGGAGGTGATGTAATCTTACATGAACTGGCATGTTAAAGTAATCTGACTTGAAGGAGTCGGCCATGTCCCCAAAAGTTTGGAGCGTGTAGCTCCTGCTGGCTTGCTCAAACCCAAATGCGACAGGAGGTTTGCCACATTCCTGCAAAGACAAACAAAAACAACCAAAGATGCTGGAGGTGCTGGGATTTCTAAACGCTGATTAGGAGCAGATGGGCTCCCTGAGGAGGCGCGGCAGCTCACCTGAGCCAGGCACTTGGGGCACCTCCAGTCACCTTTAGGGACATCGTGAAGGGGTGGGATGAGACAAAAGATGTGGTAGCTGTCGTCGCAACCATCGCACAAGAGCAGGCGGTCCTCTTCACTTCCACTTCCACATATCAGGCACATGTATTGGTCCACCTACCAAGAGAAAACAGCGCTGCACTTGTTATATAAACAACTCTAAAAAAATAAAACAGGGGTCTTAGTCTGAATCACCATGAAACATTTACTTTACTGTGTGGGGGTTTGTTTATTTTAGTTAAATCGGTTTCTTCATGTTCTGAGGGGTCCTTGTGTTCAGTTGGTTCTTGTTTTATTTCAGTGACTGCCATTCTCACTGAAAGACAAGGATGGACAGCCAACACACACTTTAGGAGTCACTGAGAAAAGAAAACCCTTTCATTTTCATTCAGTATTCCTACCAGGCTCTGGTTTGACAGCATAGGTTCCCATTCTCCTCCTCAGATTGGGGCGGTTCTCACAAATTTCACCAGGTTCTCTTTTAAATGAGAGTCTCTGCAATCAAAAGATGAAGAACAGAAAGAAACTGCATGAGTTGTTCATTTCCCCCAACTTTCATCATTAAAAAGCATAAATAAACCACAAAAAAAGCACACCGTGAGCTCATAGTGATCAGAATTTGCACATTTGTGCAAAGTGGACCTCAGTCTACAAAACGGAAACTAAATTTTACTTTTAAGGCGGATAAAAGTTGAGCAACGTACTTCGGATCTCATCCGTTTAGCTCGGCGAGCGATGCTGCAGGTCTCCTGGGGCTGCACAGACTGGCGCTGTGGGAGATCATGTGGGGTGTACTCCTTGTCCTTAGTGTCATTGGTTAAGGTTGCCTTCTGCAAAACCAAGAGGACAGTTTTATATCATTTTAAGAATGACTTAACCCTTTATAGGGCACTATAAATACTTTGAAAATATAAATTTCATTACATTTTTTAAGTTAATAAATCTAAATATAATTGTTAACTAGGCTTAGTAACTTTCTAACTTTACTTTTTAACTTTTCAATTACCTTTTTACTTTCCTTTCTTGAATTGTTAACTTTTTTTTCCAACTTAATTTACAGTAGGTAATATATATAATTCAAGGGTTCATCTAATTGGTCAAATGCCTAAATAAGATGTACAGCCATGTAGCAGTATTTATTGGGGTGGGTGGGGGGCTCCATTTGTTTTGCGTTTTTGCGGCACTAGTGGCTCGTTTGTTTTTTTTTACAGTAGCCCGACAGGAAAGGGGGTATGAGAGAGGGGGGGAGACATGCGTCAAAGGACCTCAGGTCAGATTCTAACCCGGGACTAACCGCTGCTCCACCTCCACACCAGGGGGATTCCATTTGTAAGGCATATGCAAGTGATCTAAAAATGTAAACTTGCCCTATAAAGGGTTAAGGCTGGTCATCCATAACAATATTTTAAAATCTGATAATAAAAGTTTTAAATGCTTTAAAAGAAAGCTGAGATGAGCAGAACATTCCCCTGTTATATAGGATGTATATTGAGCGAGGGCGCCCATCCTGCCAGTTTAAATCTATGAGCAGCATCATGTCAGGTTAGTTACTGCAGCAGATGGCTGAATAATTAACCAGCCCAAATAAACTTTAAAAACGCCGTCACTCCATAAATAAACAATAAGGAAGAAAAGAAAATAATCTGCAATAAAAAATAGGGGGAAATAAAGTACCAATAAAAAGAAAAGATAAATAACCTGTGATTTTAGCATCAGCTGATGACAAGACTTTTTCCTTTTCATTTCTAAATAAAACAAAATTAAAACAAATTCAAGGATCTGAAAGTCATTTTTCAAATCACTATCTTCTTTTATAATTGCTTTGTAAAGAAATAAAGAGCTACAGTAGATCACTGACTTTATAACCTCTCAGCATGGAGCTTCAAAGTGAGCCGTCAGGCTTATAGAGTGGTCTAATAAACTTCCACCCAGCTGTAAGTAATAAGGCTGATGACTGGAGCAGTGAATAGAAAACAGCCGATGGAACATACGGGCACATTGGATCCAATCTGGAAAAGGTTATACGGGTAGAGGATCCGTTCATAGTGCGCCCGCAGATGGGAGCCGATGGCCTTCCCAGGAGCGAATCCCATCTTCACGGAGATCTTAGTCCAGCGGCGTTCTCTGCAGACCGCATCAAAGCCTCCCTCTTCGTTTACCAACTTCAGTAAAAAGAGACATTTCAAAAAGAATTTAGAGGAAGAAAAAATCTGCAAAGATTGCATCAAGCAAAGCTATGCGTATGTTATTATTCAACAGACCTTGTTGAGCTGGTAGAGATCTAAAATCTTTCTTTCAACATGTGGAATTTTTAGAGTGCATCCTTGGAGCTCCCAGAATTTGGCAATTTGATCCAGGAAGTTGAGCTTAACTCTAGTCTGAGCCTAAAGGGAAAAAAACAAATAGAAATGATCAAATTAAACATTCCCCAACTAAAACAGGCCGTTATCCACACTCCTTTCCAGTCTGATCATACTCTTCTCATGATTTGATTAAACATTTTCAAAGCTGTTGACTTCATCATTATGTGAAGAGAAACTCAGCAGAATAAACACAGCAACGAGTTTAATCTGAGAACAAGGTTTTATGTTTCATACTGGCAGTAAAGCTGAAAGTTTTGGTCATGTCGAGGACTAAAATAGAACAGATGAAAATCACCTCCAACTCATTAAGCCTCTGTATCCGTGGTGTGAACTTTAGTCTGTCAACATCACAGGCAAAAGGTGGCTGCCAGTCCTGCATGGGAGGAAAAAAACAAAACGAAGAGCTTTAATCAGACAGAAGGAGATTGTTTTGGTAGCAACATTAATTGAAAAAAGAAAAAAAACTGACAACAGCTTTGGGGATAAATATATAACCCTACTCTTGTGGGGAAACATTCACAGTCCCATTCTATCTGTCTGGGTATTCCATGCCCAAGGCTTTCCAAAGAGACATTATTTAGTTTGAGTAAGGAAAAAAAAAAAAGAAATGGATCATTGTTTGAGTCCTATGACTGGAGAAAGTAGGAAAAAAAATCCTTAATCCAGCTATCAATACATGCTAATTCAATCCAAACCATTGCAACAAAACATAAAAAGTAAAGATAAAATCTTTTCATCTTTTAATTTTTCATCTTTCAACTAGCTCCTCTAAGTAACGCACTAAAAAAGATTCTACAGTACATAAAATAACTTTTTTTAATTATAGTGATGAGATAAATACGCAGCATTCAAATGCCTACTGGGATTTTGTTGACATTACGTTATATTTAAGCTGGATTATATTTATTTATCAGTTGTTTCAACAGGGATATTTCACCTAAATTAAAATTTCTGTAAATATAGCAGAATTAGCAGCCATTTTTCATATGTGGTCCTTGGACAAATAGGCACAAAATAACACTCAAATACCCGATCTAAAGCATTTTACATTTAAAAAAACATGTTGACTTTCACAGAGTGAATTCTCTTCATTTATGAAGATTTATTTAGATTTATCTCCACCTGCTACAGCAAACAAAGTCAAACTGGAAACAAACCAATGCTGTTTGGAAATTCTGCAGAGATTTAGGCTGCGTTCACACTGCAGGCCTTGATGCTCAATTCCGATTTTTGTTTGCGAAATCTTTTTTTTTTTTTTTTGCGTTGCTGTTCATTTCCAAATATATGCGACTTGTAACTGATCTCCTGTGTGAACTGCAGTAATACAGCTTAAGTGTCCCGCATGCGCAGCGTGCTCTGTGTTTACGGAAGTAAACATGGACACAATCTTTTCAAGATGGTTAAACATAAATACTGCTCTCCGCATCATCGTCCGCCATGGTTGTTGTTTTTGTTACCGCTTCTTCGTAGAAAGACCCAGGATAGTGACCTTTGTCAGGTATTAATGACGTTCAGGTCGGATGGAGCTAGCCGTTCAGATTCAGGTCGCATTTGAAAAGATGAGATTCGTATCGGATTCAGGACCACGTAGCCAAATGGCCTGGGTGACATTGGAAAAAATTGGATCTGTGTTGTTTAGACTGTAATGAAAAGATCAGATACAGGTCGCATATGGGCAAACAAAAAGGATTTGGATCACTTCAGGCTGAACGTAGCCTTAGTGAACTGAGAGAACAGAGCAAACCTGAGGAGCTGGATGTTTACTACCTCTTTATCGTCCTTTAGCTAACATTGGGCTCAGGCTAAACCACACAAAGCTAAATAAATGATAAATAGTACATTTAAAAAAAATACAGGTCGATTTCTTTGTTTAGCATGTAAGTACTTGTGCAACAAGAAGATGAGGGGTTCAGAGGGAGGAGACTATCAAAGCAGGCAGGTCTCATAAATCTAGATCATGTGATCCTTTTTTTAAAACTGTAAAAAAAAAAAAAAAAAGGTTTTTCACATCCCAAATGTTCCCTACAGCCTCTACATGAACAGGCTGCACTTCAACAATCAACAAATTAATTTCAGCTGTGCGTCATTAAAAGTGAGCCGGCACTCGTCCTTCTGCTCTGCGAATGAGAGGATTTGTAAAACGCTTTGGTGAAAATCTGTCTGGGAGCATGAAGGAAAGGCGTCGTTCTCACCGAGAATATGGTGAAAACTGAAATATTCCCTGTTTGGCTTAAGAGGATTAGAAGCAATAAAACGTTACCATTTAGAATCAAATGTCTTCCCGACATGACTGAGGAGACAAAGGCCTCCACTGAAGGCCTAACATGAGGATTTTATTTTCTAAACTTGACCTTTTACTGAATTTAACTAATATCCGTGGACAAACTGTTTGAGTTATGGACGCTTTAACGTCATGATCTGAAGTCCTCTCGCTGTAAAAACTAAACATTTGCAGTGAAACAAGTTATTTTCTGCACAATCCCAAACATGTCTGGAAAATGATACCTTGGACAATACTCTATATCCTAAATGCATTATTTCTGTCTAGGTTTACTTTAACAGCAGCACAGCGCATTTTATCATCTCCCAAACCAAACTGATTCAAACAACCAGTTTTTTGGGGCATAATTTTTCTCCAAGATAAACAGCAGTATGGCTGCCCATCCCTGCTTACCTGCAATTTAAATATCAAATGCTAGTGTTTAATATTTCACCAAGAAGGAGACTTAAAAACATTTTCTAATCTATCTGTAACTGGCACAGAACCCCAGAGGAACCTCTCACCACACACTCTGCACCCAGAAATCTCTGATCATAAACAGGTTGTGGTGAAATGTTTACTTCCGCTTCAAACACTCTTTTCTTTTTCTTTTTTTTTTAAAGAAAAACCGGAAATAAAACACAGCAAAGAGGTTACCTCAAAAGCTCTACACACAGGCTCCTATATATAGAGGCGTGCAGCTTTGTAGGACAACATAACACTTTCTTATTATGGAAACAAAACCAACTTCATTAAAAGCTAAAGCAAAACAAACAATTGGCAACTTTTGTGTTGAAAATCACTTTCAGTTAGTAATTAATTTGGCCAAATCATTCAAACAATTCATCAAATTATACATTTATTTACACGACTGATGTGATGTGGATAGGGATGGGAATCGAACACTGCTTCTGTGTGTGCCAACTGCATGGCAGCGTTTGGCAGCTCGCTTAACAATTCTATCGATTCCAGGCAGCACCAGAGCCTAGCTCTACGAAGCATGACTTGCGTCACGTTTTTCTACGCACATGGCATTCAGTACGACATGACCAGGCGTAAGTCTAGAAAAGCAAAACAAAAGTGGTCAAAGCGATCGAAAGATTGGCTTCATTTTAAGGAAGAGAAAGACGGCAACAAGGCGCTTTACGATCATTGCAAAGTTGCAATTACATCCAGGGGAGGAAATACATCCAACATGCAGAAACACCTGCGCACACAACATGGCATACATTTAAACAAACGCCGTGTTTTTGATGCTTCCAGACAGAAGCTAAATGTACGACCAGCATGGAAGGCAACTCTGATGGTAAGTAGCTAGTTTTGTATCACTGGCTGTGCTTAATGTGGTTCCTAGTAAATCATAGGTCATTTCTGGAAATAAACCAATTTCCTACCTCTCTTTGGGGTTATTAAGGGGGTGTGCCTTTCTCGTTAATCTAGCCCTTCATTGCTAGCATGTTTAATTAGAACTACTGGTAGCTGGAATTCTTACAGGATTCTAGCTATTGCAATGGATGTAACGAAACATGCTACGAAGTTGCTCTGCAGTTCAGGGAGCGAGAGAAAGGTGACGTTCGTTTATCTAAATCAGGGGGAGATGAGTTTATTTCCCGAAATTGTACAGTAATGCTTTTTTATTAAACCGATGCCTTCCCCATTATATTTAGATGACTGTGACGAGAATCGATAAGAGAATCGAATGGTTTCACAGAATCAATGAGTGTTATCGGAATTGTGAAAATCCAGTGGTGTCAAAAGTACACACATTTGTTACTTAAGTAAAAGTATAGATACTGCAGTTTAAAAACACTCTTTTAAAAGTTGAAGTATCAATTTGACCTCTTTTCGCAAGTAAAAGTGAAAAAATAAGTGCTCCAAAAACTACTGAAAGTATAAAAGTAACCTTTAAAAAAACAGCCAGATGCCACTATATGAATTGAAATCCCAATTTTTCGACTATTTCTAAAAATTCTTTGAGATAGAGTCAAGGATGGGGGAGGTCTTGTTGGTCTCCATCTCCTGATACGCTCTGGCCTGTGTCCGACCTTTCAGACATTTTAACATATTTTTCTGAATCCTCCATTGTAGCATGGCATAGACAATTCACGTTTGCAGTTTGAAAACCACCTGCTTGCTTCTGATGATTTCCTTTAGCTAACCAATGAGTGTTTGCGTTATAAGACTCATCCAATTACACTAGTTTTCACTAGATGTGGATGGAGCCAATGAGCTGCATTGGATGGAGCACATGACGTGAAATAAATATTTATAAACATTAAACCGAAGCCAAGAGTAATGAGTAACGTTTGTTTTAAAAATGTAAGGAATAGAAAGTACTAGGGATGCACGATATTGGGATTTTGGCCGATATCCGATATTTTAAAACTCATGTAGCCGATAATCGATACCGATGTTAAAGCTGGACAAAAATAAGTAGTCATTGAAAATAGCAGTTTTGTTATCCATTTCTGACACTTTGAAAAATAATATACTCAAATATATTTTCATATGCTGATATCAAATTGATTTTTAAAAACGCGGTATCGATCTATTTTACTTTCAAAATCTCGTGAAATTTCATCGTTCTGTTACAAACTCTTGTGATATTTTGCAAATTCTTGTGAGATTTTGTTAGTAAAATAGATCAATACCGCGTCAATATATCAACATATAAAAATATGGCAACATTTCGTGAATTTTCGGGGGATTTCGTAGCATAACGATGACATATAGCAATATTTCATTAGTAAAAGAGATTGATATGGTGTTTTTAAATGGCAATATATCAGCAAATGAAGATATTGTGATATTTTAATGTATCAATATTTTTTCCCTCGTCTTTAGAAGTTTTTAAGTCTGTAAAAAAGAAGTTTTTAAGGAAGAAGAAGTAGTATTTTTTTTTTTTAGACTTAAGAATCTCAGAAGCTGATCAAATATCGGGTTAAATATCGGTGTGGTGGCCGATGTCCGATGTTCAGTTTTAAGACTGATACCGATAGGGGGCCGATTATATCGTGCATCCCTAGAAAGTACAGATACTTGTGTGAAAATGTAACAAGTAAAAGTCAGAAGTAGGAAGAAAAATAAGTAATGGAGTAAAGTATAGATACCTAAAAAGTGTACTTAAGTACAGTAATGAAGTATTTGTACTTGCACCTTTGTAAAAATCTTATCAATTCCCAACACTAGCTGGGAAGATCTAACTCCTAATACACAGGTTAAAATATAAAAAAAATAAAATAAACGAAATCAGACCTATATAAAAATAATAGGTAACCATTTATTTCTTTAACACTTCCTCAGAGGACAAGCCAAGCATCAGCAGTTAATCTTTGTTCCTACCTTCCCTCATTGGCCTTTGTTTACATGAGCTGGGCTTTTTCTCTACCATTGGATGAGCAAACAGTGAAAAGCAGTCACCCCACCCACCGGGGTTTGATAACAATTCAGTTCCTTGTACCCCTGGCTGTCTGAAAACTGGGCCTTCTGCTGCTTCCCTATTTCTGCAGGACACCACTGCCACGTTATGTGGAGCCACACAAAACCCCTTTCATCCAGGACACGAAAACGACAAAGAGGGGGGGGGGAATAACAAGCCAAAGAACACAGCAGTCATGCAGAGATAATTTGTTTCGCCTGAATCTGCATTTTATCTAATTCACGTTAAGGTTTGGGCACACCCTTCAAAGCAGGCCTAGGAAATGTGTCATCGCGACCCAAAAAAGAAGGTCAAATTAAGATTCATTTGAGTTTTACACTTCAGTTCAAACATATTCATAAATATATAAGTAAAATTATGCTTTTTTTAATGAGAAATTAATCTTTTATGGGATTTCAGGAGGAGCCAAACCAACTCTGTTACGATTTTTAATTAACAAGATATAAAAGTTGTGTTGATAAAAGCATAGTGTGTCCCAAACAGCAACGATGATCACAGATCGGGTGTATAAATGGCAAACAGTTAGGTTAAAAAGTGTCCATTGATTGTGGGAGTTGTTTTATCTCCATAAACAGTTGGTAAGCGAGCACGTAGCCTTTAGATGTCAGACAACTGCAGTTTGAAACGGGCCCAAATGAAGCCTCGAGCTGTCAGGTCAACCTGCTTTTTGCATCAAAATACGTTAATAGTCAAATAAGCACCTCAGTTTTTCTCAGCTTTAATATATTTTTGTCTTTCATTGGCCCAAACTTCAGGCCGTCATTTGAATTTTGCGCAAATGCAAACAATTTACATCATATTTGCGTACTGGCGTACTTCAAATGTTCAAATATTATTAGAAATTTCAATGGCGCCTGTTTTTTATAAGAGTATATCAATGAATAAAAGTTATTTTTTCGGTTCAATTTGGAAGGTTGACACACATTTCCTCCAGCCGACTGACACGTCTGAAAAGCTGCTGACCATTGGTGCCAGCAGCTCCAGCTCGGGCTAGCTAGCAGCGGAGCCGCAATCCGCCATGTTGGACGCCTTCTTAAAACACAACTTTGCTAAAAAAAAAAAAAAAAAAATTCTAATAATTACCCCCCTTAAAAATAGGCCGAGACATACAGGATCAGTTCGGCATAAAAAACAAGAAGCAGAAACACTCACAGGAGGTGGTCGGATTTTGCAGATGCCAGTTTTTTCCGCAATTGGTCGGATTTTGTTGATGTACGCAAAAGGGTCGGCGAATTCCTCCCAGCTGGGCTCAAAAACAGGGCACTCCGGGGGAGGAATAAACTCGTTCAGCTGTGGATGAGTCATTGTTGCATGTTTTTAGACTCCAGCTGAAGATATATGGAAAAAAAACGGCTTCCCCACACCGTTTGTAATCGCTTTGGATTGTTGTCTTTCAGTTCATGTCCACTCCACTCACTGAACTCAAAAGACGGATTACTTGGAGCAGGTCTGTCACCAGCTTCCGCTTGAAAAGCTAGACCCCTTCAATTCGGACTTATCTCTCAAAAGAAGACACATAATAAACAATCACCATTTAATTTAGTGTTTGTACGTTTATATTTCTTTCAAGTAGATGTGTTTGAAGTTTATCTAAAGTCAAATGAGGATAAACGACTGAGTAGAATTACAGACTACATTCAAACAGTTAACAGCGTCATTAGTCAGGGAGATTGTTGTACTAACACTTCGAGAACAAGATAAATTCCTTATCGGTTCAGTCACACATAATTATCTTGCATAGTGGTGTTTAAATAGTTCACTTTTAGTAAAACTGTATGAACAGATCCAGTGTTTTTTACAAATGATCGGATAAAAGGTTCTGACTGCTCCGGAGGCCGCCCGAATAAAAAGGCTATCAGATTATAGTGAGTGTTAGCTATTCAAACACACCTAGCAGATCGCTGCGCGCTGACCGGAACTATGTTTTTAAATGGTCCAAAGACGCCCGCTGATTGGTGGAGAGCAGGCGGAACGATTGTTTATATTTTCATAGTGACGTTTGTTCCCCAAAACTACAACAGCTATTAAAAATATACTTAAATCTGGAATGTGTACCAGCATAGTAAAATGATCTGATTGTAGTAATTTATGTATAATTATATCTATTATTTTATAATTATATATTACTATACAATTATATAAAAACTTATAATTATATTATATTTTTTGTATTTTATAATTATATGTTATATTTTAATATAATATAAAAATATTTAATGATATTATGTTTTTATAATTATATTTATTCATAATTTATTTATTTTGTAATTTATCTACACTTTTCCAACAGGAAAATGAACAATCACAACATCCATATTTTCTAAATAAAGACAAACTATAATTTCCTATAGCCTTTGCTAACAAATAGACGGATATATTTAAACAATTAAATTAAATTTCAATTCAGTTTATTTCTATAGCGCCAATTCACAACACATGTCATCTCAAGGCACTTTACAGTTCAACCAGATCATCCAGTCAGATTGATTCAAAGTTTTCTATCTAAGGAAAACCAGTTGATTGCATCGACTCATTGACTCAAATGCAATCCCTCAAACCAATTTTAAACATCCGTGCTTCTAAATAAAAGGTATAGTGGATAAAATTCTTTCAGTTTTGAGATCTGCGGTGTAAATCTTTTTCATCGTCATTACTTA